TCCAAGTTTGGGGTTACACTGAGGCATGTCAGTCAGAGGGTACAGCACTGAGCTGCTGTAACTGGTTGCTCCCTCCCACAGGCAGGCTGAGCACTGGGCTTTGGCTACCAGAGAGTGACGTCCACGTGCTGGGACCTGTGTCACCATCCCAAACAGCACAAACAGGCTGTGTGACACAGTTACAGGTCAGAGAGAGACTAAGGAGGCCAGGAGGACTAAGGAGGTCAGGAGGATGCTATGGAATGTGGGGATGAGTCACCTCAGTAGAGAGAAGGCTCACTCATGCTACACACCCTGGTAGGAAGTGCTGGGCCATGTAGCATTGCCAGACTGCCCCTGTTGCCCTGACTGCTAGAGCAGGACAGAGTCAATGCCGGGAACCCATCACATATGGCTATGGCAAACTATAATGACAGAGATCAAGCAGCTCCTCCTCTCCCCCCCCCATAACACTTCCCAGCCTACATTCTGCCTGCATGTTGCCATACAGAAGATTTCAGGAGGGGCCACACACGTGCACACCCAAATCCTTGTTCACACACGCAGAGTGTCCTGAAGAAGAATCCACTGATATGGCTGCCTCCCATGGAGGACTGTGTCAGCCCAGTCTGTTACAACTCCTTGGGGAAACATGAACACACAAACACTATTGGCTGCCTTTCTGTGTGCTTATATGCTGCAATCGAGTCTCTATGAGTCTGAAACATCATACGGGAAACATTTTTCCCACTTAGGATTAGGTACAAAGGTGTTTGATATAACTACTAACAACACAGAAGCTCTGAAGACCAGTTTGAAAAAGATCTACTAATTCATTGGCTTTTAACAGTAGTGTCTTTATGTATTTTGATAGCGTTTATGGTGACTTTATATCACTACAGTGGTGTAAAATGCATGTACCTGTGTAATAACAACACTGGTGTGCTGTGAAGCTGCTCATCAAATAGGCACGTATTTTGCTTATTTATATATTCCCCTGTTTACAAGGAGAATATCTTTCTACAAGGAAATTTCCAAGAAAGAGATAGGCTCTGGTTTATCTAATTGGCAAAGGCACAAAGTATGCCTACTATATGTGGCTAATAAAAAACTGAATAAGCATATTCCTAGAACTTTAGTTGGCACTGTTCAGGATCCTAAGGTTATACACAGTTTAACTGCAGCTTTTTGCACAAGAGCTTGACAAATGACAGGAAAAAAGACCTTTATCCCCACAGTTAACTAAACAGATAATATACATTGTTAGTCAGTAAGGGAGACGGAGCACGTATTTCACAAACAGATTACTTGGAAACTTGACTGACAAGTCCTTCCTGGGACAGCCACGGTAACTGCTGTGTTTGATCATTGCTTTGTCATCTTAGCAGTGATAGAAATGGGTTCCCTCCATTGGCTCTGCAGGTACTGTACGTAGCACATAATTTAATCCATCCATGCTGATGTGAACATTAAGATCAAAATATCCGGCTAGATATAAAGCAGGTCTACACAAATAAAGCTTGCAAGAAGCAGTGTTCAGAGTTGCTATTTTGCTATGCAAATAGCCATTCATAACGAACTGTATAGAATCAGCTTGTAAGATTTAAATGAAAGTGTTTTGAAAACTCATGCCCCAAGTGAGGCTCCTCCATGCTTAATCACCTACACAAATGACCTGCTTTCCAAAAGCAGCCACGTCTTGTGTTTGCTTCTGAGGGAACTGTCTACTGCCCAGGACTGATTAAATGAAAACACTTCCTCTATGCCTATGAATTTTAGCTTGGAGACACAGCTTTGAACATCACATTTGTAATATATTGCTGTAAGTGTTAATACTAGCAGGACAGACCACTGGATTCTACTCTTCCTTCTGACATTATTCAGTTTGTGACATTAAAGAGCTCACTTAGTTCATGCTTTAATGCATGAATAAGAAAAATCCTTGTTTTAAAATGGGCAGAACTAACACTTGTGGCAGGAGTCATCTCATTAGCCATTGACCTAATCTCCAAGCAATTCACACCAGACTTTCTTTATAATCCACGACAGAAATGCGCACTCTAAGGATGGGATTCATCTAATCAAGTACACAGCACTGTAGGAGGAGATAAACCACATTGCAGACTCCACTGACAAGTGTGATTAGATCTCTGCTGACTCTGAAGGGAGACTCGTGATCTGAAGATGTTTGTGTGTCAGCTGCCAATTCCCAAGCATGAATCCCTCCATTATTGTCCAGTTGAGGCTGTGGTTTCAGGATCAGCATCAGCTGTTGCCAGTATACGGTCACACACTTTTCCCTGCCCCAACCACATGGTTCTGCATGTCAGCTCTAGCAATCCTGCAGTGCTAGGTAAATAGGATTAACTTGCTGAACTGGCTGAAAAGTAATGATGAAGAAAAAGAATTCGGTTTTGGTTACGCTGTCAGGCAAAGCTGATGCCCCTCACATGCCCTAATTTCTAGATCTGAGGCCTGATTGGGAGCAGGAATGTAATTCTGAAAAGGAATTGTGGTGGCCCTTTTTGGCACCGGCTTTTATTTGGACCAGCTTAAGTTGACCACAAAATGCTCTCTGTGGAAGGCAGTTCTGAAAATGAATAGATTTAGTTACAGAACATGAAGTTAACATGTCTATGCTTACTGCCTTGGGATATGATTTGACAAACATCAAATACAATTGATCCTTCAAAGAGGCCTTCATGTCTCTGTCCTTATATGAAGGTCACATTTGGTGTCTGCAAAAAGGAGCGGTGTCCAGCAGGTCTCAGAGTCAGGATCGCAGCACATTCCAAATAAAAGCATCAGCATTTATTGTGAAATAAAGTGAAATTCATCCATGTCAAGCTGATGTAGTTAATATCTAATACACAAATGGTAAAATGATGAATATGCTATTGCTCAGCCACTTGAACGACTTTACATAAAAAAGACTTTGTGTCAAGACAGAAGGGTGCAGCTCTTGCCTGATGTGTGTTGTGGCAGCAAGAGCAGCAGCGATGTGTGGGTAGGCGAGTTGGCTGGAAACACCAGGAGTACCTGGATTGCTGATGGAGGGTGAGCCTGAGGCTGCCCTCCAGATCAGACCTGTTGGTGCCAGGTCAGAGTGGGAGCCCATCAAAGTGTGTTGCACAGGGGCCCCTGTGCCTGAGCATGCCCTACACGTCCTGTGCCACCAGGCCCTTTGCTGCAGGCAGGCCTGTCTTGCAGAGTAGAAATTATAGGATGTGCCATATCCTGTGCTCATGGCTGTGCCAGGAACCACCCTGTAAACTCCGTATATACACAGCCAGCGTGACAGCTTCCATTCCAGTTTGCCCGGGGATCTTCCTCTTCTGGGCCAACACTGTTCTCGTACCATGTTCTAACATTGCCTAGTTCAGTCCCTGGCACCAAAGTCGGCTCTTTGCACAATGTTCCCTTGATGTCACTGAGTTCTCAGGAGACACAGAGGTGTACCAGCATAGCCCCATTTGTCAGGGCAAAATGTGCCACCATAGGGCACTTCTTCTTTGGCAGCATTGCACGGAGGTGCTCTGCACCCTCGCACAATTCAAAGCTGCACTTGTTGAACTAGTTTTGAACTGACTTTTCCAATGCCACAACATGCACGTTTATGACTTCCTACAGTATTACATGTTCCTGTAGGTACTTACCTCGAAGGATCTGAGTGATCTTTTTCCAACAAAAGACTTTTAGAGATCCTACACTAATGAAATCCTTTTTCCTAGAGTGACAGTGAAAATCCCTGCCCCGATAACCAACTCAGATGACAGAAAGTATCGTATGTTTTCTGACAGGGCCTGATACTGAAGATAGGTGGAACAGGTGCTACAGTGATTAGCACATATCTCTCAGTGCCTGTCCTTGGCAATTACCCATTAATTCATTGACACTCATTGCCACAGCTCCAAAAGAACTGGCTTGGATTACAGGGAGCAATCTCATGTTCTTTCTAAAGGTAATAAAAAGCAGAGTTAACAATATGATTTATTAAAATGCCATATGAAAGATAATTTATGTCAGTAACAATTAAAAATGTTACCAACCAATTGGCTGAAAAGAATATTTTTCATTCTAGAATTCCATATTAACAGAATTTTCCTGTCCCTGTTGAATCATTGTTACTGTCTTTCCAGCAGAGAGCCACACTATGTGCAAAAGTGAGTAACACCACAAGTTTCCCTGACTTTTTTCCTTTAATGATTAATATGGTGGTGATTTTTCTAGTAGGATCCACTTGAGCCTTGAGCATTGGCTGAATAAGGTATTAGCTCTACAAATATCTTATTAGTATTAACTTCACAGCTGATTAGAGCAACTGTTTTGCCTGCCTAGTTGTGGATTTTAAGAAAATACTAATTGTCTCATGAGCAGACAAATTGGTAATCAAAGCAGACAGGACATGGTCTTAAGCCCACCAGAAAAAAACAACTGTTTATTAGGAAGAGTTATAGATTGGTTGTGCAGTTAATTGTGCCAGAAGTCATGAAGCAGTTAAGAGGTCTTCGAATGCCATTGGATCAAATGAATGGCTTGAGAGTAAGAAAGCAAAATAACTGAAGTAGAAAGACCACAACTGGACATAAGAAAGGCATATTTTAAAAACCAGTTGTTTCTTTATTAGGGTAAAAATATCTTGGAAGGGAAAAAAGTGGGTTTTTTAATCTGCTTTGCAAGGTTCAGAAGAGGTGTAGTGGATGATCTACTGACCCCCTCAACTTGTCTGGAGTTCTACTAATTCCAAAGAGCCCATATTTCACAGACGTTGTAACCATGTAGAAGAAATCTCTTTATAGAGCAAGGTGTCCTTCATTTCCTATCTTAATGTCAATTATAGCTGTAGTCTTTCTTCACAGGTCGCAAACAAAAGCATATAAGCTCATGCTTAACTCACCTCTGTTCAAAGAAGTCCTTTTAATTAACTATAAACACATATCTAAGTCCTTTCCTTGATAAAACTGCTTTCCTGAATCAGGACATAACAGTAAATTCCACGCAGAGCAATGTGAACAGTAATATTCACTTTTCATTTGTTTTATTTTTCATCACAAGGAACAAACTTGTTTATGTAGGTAACTGGACAGTGAATGCTTCTGTTGGCTTTGGTGTTGCTGAGTGGACCTAATTTGAAGAAACCTTGAAAGGGCATCTACCAGGGAGAGACATTGGCTGCAAGAAACGCAGCCTAAAATGAACACTGACAGCCTTGAAGTGGAACAGATAGATGGAGTCATGTTTGCCAGAGTCCCACAAGCCCTCATTAAAAGCAGACAGGTCTGATGACTGCACAGAAAGGGGAAAAGTTAGGTGTTAAAAGGAGGCAGTGTGCTCTGTAATACGTGACTGCATCAGCATTTTATATGCAGGGTTTCACCTTTTCCAAGTGGAAAGGCATGGAGTGATGAAGAGCCCTCCGTGGTGGTGATCTCTCCACTTGCAAACCTATGCAGAAATTCAAAGGAAAAAAGCAGTGACTTTATTTACTCAGCAAATATGCTGAGTAATAGCAAAACTCCCAACCAAAGTCCTGTTCTTCTTACAGTGCTCAGCTGGCTTAGGAGAGCTCCGCAGCACTCTGTACAATACATTTCCTCTCAGAACAGGCGACAAGCAGCAGCTTTCTGTTGAGCCCTGGCAGCTGGTTCTGGGGTGGTATGAAGCTGCGTGGCAGAGACCCAGAGTTACTTCTCCCCTCAGAACACAGAGCATTTATGATAAGTAAACAGATTTTAGATGGGTCCTTCCACATGTGTGGATCAGAAGCTGAGCCGAGAAAGAATTGTGTGAGTCACAAACAATGCCTGGAAGCCTAAAAAAGAAAACACAACAAAAACCCCTGAGTCCTCCCTACTTTGAAGACAAAGTATTCTCCTCAAAAGCATAAGCAGGAACAAAATGTTCTTCTGTAACAAACCATTTATGGTGTCATTAGGTACCATTATCAGTCACTTTCCTATTAACCTTAAAATTGATAGTGTTGCCAGATGGGCAGCCCTAAATTTAGGAACGATCCCTGGTTCTCTTGGCTTTTGGTGTACGGTAATAGAATGGAAAGGCCTGGAAACAGCAGCATGCAGCACACTGGGTCATGAGAAAGAGTCGTAGCGATGTGTGGGGAAGTCATAGCGATGTGAACTGCTGTGTGATCCAGCTGCCGGTCTGTGCCTGTCATGTCCAGCAGCGGGACTGGGCTGCCACAGGGCAATTATACGTTAAAGCCCCTGTGTTGGAAGGCCCTGGAGACAATGGTGGCTGATGGGTAAAACTACATGCGCAGTCCTATTCCTCGGGGAGCAGTGGAAGGCCTGAGGAACACTGTTACTCCCCGCCTGAGAAGAAACCATCCCCTCCCATTCTCCTAAGGTATATGGTCCATGTCTTGTGGCTCTTGGCCCCAAAAGGAATTAAGCATTCAGCCTGGTATAGTGGGAAGAAAAGCTATTCCTGGACATGGATAAGGATCAAGAGCATGCCATCCTGTAAGGGGAAGACTGCAGCACACGGATCAGTGGTATGGGTATCCTTGAGCAGATTAGGAGGTCTCGCAGTGAAGAAATGTTAAAAGGGTCACAAATTGATCTGGACATTGTTTACATACCAAGAAAGATACCCAAAAAGCTCTAACTCCCCTCCTCAAGTCAGGCAAAGCTCTTGACACAGTTTATGTTCAGTGATGGTGAATTTTTATTTATCAGGGTGGTACTGACATCAATATCCTGTTTATTTCCCTCAGGAGGGGACTGAGTACTTTTAATCAAGAAAACTATGACGACATCACAGGAGCAACCAACTAACAGCTTCAGTAATTCCTGAGGCAGAGTCAACGAGAGATATTAAACTCCTCATCCTCCCTGCCTTCCTATCTAAATTCCATTGGATTAACACCAATCCCTGTAAAATGATAATCCACCTCATTAACAGGCAGTAAAAAAGGTTTGAGCTGTACCAGTTTCTTTGACCCATATATCCTAAATTTGAGTAATTCTTCCTTGCCAACTAATGGCCTTGTGTGGGAGTGAGGAGGAGAGGACACGGGCATGTTCCGTTTCCATATAATTGCCGGTTAGCTTCCTGATTATTTACTTCTTAGTAAGTGACATCAGGGCATACGGGAAGCCAGGCAGGGGAAGAGAATGTTATAGCAATCTAATTGCTGACTCTCTTTATGACAGTCATTAAAGCATTCCCTGTGGGTCCCTACCGCTATGCTCCAGAGCAGACCTGGATTTTGACACAAGCATGATCTCACAGACAACAGGGTTCGGGGACACAGGTCAATAGAGCAGTGCCTGTGATGCCCAAGCCACATCTGGCACGCAAGACAGGTTAAGTAAATGTGGGGGGATGGCACACACAGATTAGAGCAGTGTGGTGCTCAGATGTGGGCTCACGGGGACGCTGCCGAGCTCAGGGGAAGCCTGACCTGAATTACTGCCCTCAGTTATGCTTGTTGATAAATCTTGCCTAGTCAAAATGTGAACACATAAATCTTTCCTTGTCAAAATGTGAACACCTTCTGTCGTTTTACTAATGAAGTGAAGTCAAGAGTCTTTGCACAGACTCTTGGATCACAATCCCTTTGGAATCTCCAAGTGTAGCAACAGGCTTTTGCAGTCTTGCTAGATCTTCCTTCTCAGGGCAGCATTTTTCTTCCTGCCTCTGTGTATTCACACACACAGCTACACCTCTACAGCTGCAAAGAGCCATGGCTGGTTGTTCCATCTCTCTCCTTATGGAATATTCTTTGGCACTCTTTCTCTGGCTGCCGTGATTGTTGGCTCCCTTGGAACACAGTGGGCAAAGTATGAGCTCAGCTCTGCCTTTTTGTAATTTTTTGTGATTACATTTTTATGTGTTTTGTTGTTGTTGTTGTTGTTTGTCTGGATGTCTCAAAACATTTTCTTTCCCTTTCCTAGCCACAAGTGTAAGAAGAGACTGAATGTGGCACTCAGTGCCATGGTCTAGTACCCAAGGTGGTGTTAGGCCAAAGCGTGGGCTCTGATGATCTCAGAGGCCTTTTCCAACCTAATTGATTCTGCAATAAGCCAAACAGTATCCAGGGACTGACCTTTCAGCATTGATTTTTTCTCTATTATTATATAATTATAATAATAATTATAATTATAATATTTAATAATTACTTAATAACAATTATTATTGTATATTATTCTATCGTATTATGCAGCTTCTCAAAACTTCATGCAAAACTCCTCTCTTCTCTCCCAGTTTTTTTTAGTAGCTCATCGGTTATTATTGATCGCCTCATGAGATGAATGAGTGATTCATCTCACTGTCCTCAGTGGTACGAACGGGAGAAAAATTAAACAGCAAAAAGGGCTGCACAAAGGGCCAAACTTCACTGAAAAAGGGTCAAATCTCACAAAATTCACTACCCCACGCCCGTGACGTCACAGCGCCCCCTCAGGCGCGGCCCCGCCCCTCCCGGCCCGCAGGGGGAGCCCCGCCCCCGGGCGCGCGCCGGGCCGGGGCCGTGTGAAGCGCACCTTTTGCACGAGTCCCGCTCGCCGCGGGCGGGGCCTGCGGGGGCGGGGCGGGCGGGGAAAGCCGGCGGGTTCGTCCAATCGGAGCGGTCGCTCCCCGGCGCGTCATGCGTGGCACCGCCCCCTCCGCTTTTCCAGGCATGGGCGGCTCAATGGGCGTTACCGGGCGGGGCGGGGCCCTCCTGTCGCGAGGGAGCGCGGGCCAATGGCGAGCGGGGCCGCGCGCGGGGGCGGGAGGGCACGGCAGGGCGGGGGGGGCGCGGCGGCCAATGGGGCGAGGACGGGGGCGTGGCCGAGGCGGCGCTTGGGTTCCGTGTGGAAAGAGTGAGGGGGCTCGGGTGCAAAGTTTGCTCGCCCGGTGCCTGCGGAGGGAGCGGCGGCGGCGGCGGCGCGGGGGGAGCGGAGCCGAGCGCAGCCGAGCGGAGCGGCCGCCCGAGCGCCCGGGGCTCCCACCGCCCGCCGCGCTCCGACCATTCCCGCCGGGCAGCCGCGATGTGCGGGGGGATGGCGGCGCGGGGTCCGGGCGGGCCGCGGTGCTGGCAGAACCGGCGGGCGCGGCTGCTGTGCATGCTGGCACTCACCTTCCTGTTCTTCGTGGTGGAGGTAGCGGTGAGCCGCGTCACGTCGTCCCTGGCCATGCTCTCCGACTCCTTCCACATGCTCTCGGACGTGATGGCCCTTGTCGTGGCGCTGGTGGCCGTGCGCTTCGCCCAGCGCACCCGCGCCACCAAGAAGAACACGTTCGGGTGGGTGCGGGCCGAGGTGATGGGCGCGCTCGTCAACGCCGTGTTCCTCACGGCCCTCTGCTTCACCATCCTGCTGGAGGCCATCGAGCGCTTCACCGAGCCCCACGAGATCCAGCAGCCGCTGGTGGTCATCGCCGTGGGAGTGGCGGGGCTCATCATCAACCTGCTGGGGCTCTGCCTCTTCAACCACCACGGCGTCGGGGGCCACGGGCACGCCCACGGGCACGGGCACTCGCACGGCGCCCGGCAGCAGCACCCCCGCGCCGGCCCCAAGCCCGAGCCGCCGCCCGGGGACGGGGAGGCAGCGCTGCACCGCGAGGAGACCAGCACCTTGGTGGAGAACTGCAGCAGCTCCAACGGGGTCAGCCAGGAGAAGCTGGGTAAGCCCCGCGGCGCCGCTGCCCCATCCAGGCAGAGAAAAGCGGGAGGGGTCCTTTCCCCGAGTAGGGCGGTGGCATCCTGGTCACACCCGGCGCGGGCTGTGCGGGGACCACCTGTCCCCCCTGCTGGGGAAGAGGCTAGAAACTTTCTTAGCAGCACTGTTGGGCTCATGACTGTCGCACCTCTGCCTCGCACCTTTCCTTCAGATGCCGTGAGCTGCATGCTTGTCTTGCAGACAGGTCAGAGTGTGAAAGTCTTGGGATAAAGCGGTGTGCCGTGGGAAAAAAGTTGGTTCTGCTAGGGAAGGCACATGACAAGCGTTTCTTGCCTAGCGACACGAGCTGTCACAAGACGCTGCCCTAATGCCATCCGAACTGGCTGCACATCAAATGGAGCGCAGCTCAGCGCCTTGGTCCCGGCTCCTTCATTGGAGCAGTTATCAGCTACTTGTCAGGTACCTGAGAAGCTGCTCTCCACCCGAACGCAACATGCTGAAGTATATTCCACTGCAGTAATGTTGTACGTCTTCGTGGCATCGGTATTAATAGAAGTCTTGGAAATTGCCAGTCAGAACTGTGGAAGTCGGAATGTGGAGCTCACTGGTGTCAGAGCACACGCATGGTGTCTTGGAATGAGTTTTCTTTAGCTTTCTAAAGCATGCATCTTCCCACTCAGCTTCACACAGACACAAATTTAAAATCTTCCCTTCCCTATTGTGGTCAAACTGTCTGTTCCGTGGGTGGGAATTTCTTGGGTTATTTTTTGAAGGATCCAGAAGCCTGGATTTTGAAGCTGCTTGGTTGAAGCCCAAGTCCTGCATGGTAGCAGAGTGAAAGGTGTGCGACTGCCACTTCTCTATTCATATGGCATCCTTTGTCACCTCGAGGAAGGGGCTTAAGACTTTGGAACCCATGTCTCTCTCTTTCAGTTTCAGGGTGACATCAATGGAGCTTTAATTGAGCAGAGTGAACTTTGCTACAGTTTCATTTTTTCTGTGGTCAGAGGTTCCAGTATACATTTGAGAAACTTAGCAGTTTCTGTTTTTCTGACTCCGTGTTGGCTTTGGAAAGACAGGTTTTGCAGGAGGACAGGAGAGTTTCTCTGAATACACTACACCATTTTCTTGACCACGTAATAAGCTCTTAGTGTTGGTTTAGTTCCAACAAAGATATCCTAATAATTAGTTTCAAACAATGTAAAATTCCCTTAACCGTTGGTCTGATAGATATCTTGCCTTCAGAATTATTCTTACATGGTGAAAAGTTGTGCTTTTAGCCAAGTTTTGGACTAGTTAGACCAAAAGATTACCTTATAGCATGAATTTAAAATGTATACTGTTTTGAGCTAATTTGTCTGGAATGTCTCATGGATGTGCTTCTGGCAATAACAAATAATTTGTTGTGGGTATTTAGGTGGTAATAGGGCATAATTTTGGTCACAGTGAAACTTTGAAATAAGTTTGTATTTCCTTCTGTGCCCTGTCATGATTATGTAATGGATGGAGTTATTCATAGTTTACCCATGGAAAAGTTACAGGTAAAGGTGATTGGAGACTTGGAAGAAAAGGTGAAAGATGTATAGGTAAAGACTAGGGTGGTCCTGTGCCTTCACTGGAAATTGCAAAGAGGGGTTGTCCCTGATTTCCTAAGGTGAAAGTGGAAAGCAAGGGATAACCTTAGGGGCTAGTCCTGCACAGGCATTTTTGTGCATACAATTTATGTAAAGTAATCAGTTTATAGTTAGATTTCAATGAGCATATTTCAGATGCAAATGTTTTAACCATTTGCCATTAAAAAAAATCTCAAGAGCTTTCTGGAACTGTGTTCCCTGTTACCCTTTCTTGTAGACAGCTCTACTGACTTTTCAGCTCTCCTTTATTCCAAGCACTTGATGTAGAACAGAGAATTCCTATTTCCTTGCTTCCATGATGGACCTTGAGGTCTGAACTCTGTAACCTGAGATATTTTTCTCTAATTTATTGACTTCTCTGGAAAGTTACAGGTCCCATGTTCCATAACTCCTAGAGGTAGTGTGGAAAATTTAGCTGGAGCTTTAGGGCAGAAGCGGGATGCATGAGGTAGTGAGCCTGAGGCTTGGAACTCGGTGCTCAGCTGCCTTCAAAGAGCCCACCCCTTCTTCAGAGAGGAAAGGATTCGTGCACACTTTACCATTGCAGAATTGCAGCCATGAGAGCAGGGCGGCAGAAGCTGCAGGTCTTATTAACGTGTTAATGTTTACAAAGCTCTGAACTGAATAACCTCAAAAGCAGTAAGAGCTTGTTGTCTCAGTTTGTCGGGCCAGGGGCCAGTGCATGTTGCATTTCTTTAGCACTGGAAGTGTCCACGGAAGAACTTTTGAAGTAAAGCAAGAGGTTAATCATGTAAAATTCTTTCAAATTTAAACAACGGAAGATGATTTTCTTTCAGAAAATGTGATATGTATATTTGTTCCCCTGTAGCTGGTTAGCTGTATTGGAATGGTAAATAGTGCAGACAGTTTTGACAAAGAAGAGCACTAAAATGTTCGTTTATGCTTTGCACAGTCCATGACATATGGCATTGGACATCAGAAGCTGTATGTCACTTGCATAAAAAGTGTAATTTTGGTACTTATTTATTTATTTATAAATTACATTCTGAAATATAAATAACACTAGTTCATAGCCACTGAGAGCTTCAGAGATAACTTAAACTGTCCTATACTCAATACTGCTGATAAATTCTGCATTTCAGACCTAGAAACTCAGCTGATTGTCCTGCTGGCTCCGTGCGCCATCTCGGAAAAACTTCCTTTTCCTTGAATTCAGAAGCCTTTTGAAAATGCACTTCTGAACCTGAAAAGAAGCTGCTATACAGCTGTATTCATACAGCTTTTGAGCTTCTGGCTTCAAATTGTAATACAAAAGAGCAATGCAGTCCTATGGTTTGAGATTTTAGCAATGTGATTAGTCTTCTAGTGTCTCAAAAGAGGGAACTAACGTAACTAACTGAGCTACTTAACCAGCTTTTTACATATGCTCTGTAGTTCTGCATTTTGTTTAAGAAACAAACAGTGAGTAGTCAAGTGGTTAAACAGCTGGAAAAGGTGACAGTAGTTTTTCAGTAGAATAGATTAAAACACGGTCATCTTCATTCTTTGCCACTCTACATCTTTAAACTCCATGTAGAAACAGTTACCTTTTAGACTCTTTAGATCACTTATTGGGACAACTGAATATTTCTCAGACAGAGAAGATCTTGCTAAGTGTGTGGGTAGAGCTGCTTGCTTTTCAGTTTCATACTCGATGTGGCATGCTAATTAATGTTGGCTATTATTTTATAAAGAATTACAGTAATGTGTAGTATTATAGCATCTGCCTAATGGTTTTATTGTTTTCTTGTCAGGTGATATGAAAGATGACATGGCTGACCTACAGGTGAACGGGAATGCTGGCCATTATCCTCTGGATGAAGAGGAGGTTGAAGAAGACTCTAGTGCGCAACTTAACATGCGTGGAGTTTTTCTGCATGTTTTTGGAGATGCCTTAGGTTCAGTAATTGTGGTAGTGAATGCCTTGCTCTTTTATGGGTTGTGGAATCCATGCCCTGAAGATGGGCCTTGCTTTAATCCATGTATCAATAATCATTGCATGGAAAATGCTACTTTATCCCAAACACTTGGGAGAGCTAACAAGTCTGAGCAAGAGGGCATTACAGTGGCTGGTCCTTGCTGGTTGCTATATTTAGATCCTGTCCTTTGTTTGATTATGGTCTGTATACTCCTTTACACAACTTACCCATTACTTAGGGAGTCAGCCCTTATACTTCTGCAGACTGTTCCCAAACAAATAGATGTTCATTCTTTGAACTCAAAGTTACGTACCCTCGAAGGAGTTGAAGCAATCCACGAATTACACATTTGGCAACTAGCAGGCAGTAGGATCATTGGCACTGCTCACATCAAGTGCCCTGACCCTTCCACGTACATGATGGTGGCAAAGCGCATTAAAGAGATCTTTCATGACGAAGGGATTCACGCAACTACCATTCAGCCTGAGTTTGCCAGCGTTGGCTCTGAATCGGGGAGAGGGAAATGTGAGTTGCCTTGCAGGACTCAGTGTGCTTTGAAGCAGTGTTGCGGAACAGGGGAAGATAGTACTGCAAAGAAGACAGAAAAATCTTCGTCACTTAGTATTTCTTGTTCAGAAGTTGTCATTGAATTTCCAAAAACGAGGAGGACTAAGTCGGAGAGCATCCCTTCAGTGAAGCTAGAGGCAAACACTGATCAAAATGAGCAATTTGAGTCATCTTTGTAACTCCCCGAACGGTGCTACCTGAGTTGTGGTAACTCTGTCAACAGCTGTGTTGCAAGAGGAAGAGACAGACGTTTTGAGTTGCAATTTTGCCAAGTAGTGTAATTGCTGAAGTCCTTGTTCTTGTCATATTGCTAAATATAGAATGCTTGTTTTAAAGAATATAATGTCACTGTCATGATACAATGTGTTTGTGTTGACTTTGTTTGACTGAGACAGACAGAAAGTGCACCTATGCTGTAACAACTTCAGAAAACCAGTTTCAACATTTCAGCAGAGACACTTTTTGCTGTGCTTCAAATTAAGATTTTTTTTTTTTTCAAGTGAAAAGGTATTTGAGGGATAAGCATGTAGGAACTCGATTTGTGTTACATATTTCTTGGACCTACTTTTTCCTTTAATATTTGATTTGTAGATGTTTTAATATATTGTTTATTTAGAAGCCCTAAGAAAACCAAAGTTCATAGAACATTTTAAAAGAGAAAGCTACTAAAAACTGGAAACCACTTTGCAGTTTCACATATTTTTCTTAAAGCTATGTAATAATAATAAATGTGAAGGCTTTTCAACTGAATTTATTGCATTTTTTGAAGAGAACATCCTGTGATTGTTAGAAATTGTCCCCACTTCTTTTGGTAAGGTAGCAAAGTAATTGAAAACAACAGATGTGAAAGGGGTTTTTTCTACCAGAATGGAAGTTCAAGCTACTGTATACTGCTCTCTGATCAAGATGTGAGACTGATTGATACAGTAACACATACTTTCATATTTTGTGTATTTTCTGGTGGCTTTTCTTACTTCCAAGTTGTATCTTGGAAGTCTTCAATATTTAAAGAACCCTTGACTCACAGTGCTGTGAATCAAGAGCTGGAGCTTTATATTTAACTGATGCTGAGTTTACTAAGACAAAATAATTAGTTATGTCAGTAAGTGCGCGGTCGGGGAACGTCTGCCAAGCACGGACAGTATAATTTGTGCTTTCCAGCTCAGGCAGCAGCTTCGCAACAAGTAATGCAGTGGTGCATTTTGCTTCTAGTTGAGTGGAAGCGCTTGCAGTGACTACAGTCCTGGTCCCCACCGTGTCCTCAGGAGCCCTCCAGGACTTTTGAGGAAGTGGCACAGGGAGCAGGATTTCATTCACTGTTATTTCACACTTTGAGGTGTTTATGTATCACATAATTTCACTTATTAAGTATCCAAATCTGTGGTTTAAAATCTTGACTCAGTTAATTGACAACTGGCTCTAAAGAAGCTGTTACAGTATGCTGCCAACTTACACCTTAGCAGAGGAGAAACTGGTCAGTGGGCTCTGTGAATTTGGCAGAGACTAGGTGAGAGTTGAAGATAAAACATATAAGAAATATAATCTAAAACCCCAGCCCTTTTGATCCACTCTCGCGTTACGTACGGGAACCAATGTCTTGTGCTTATTTGACTCTCCTATGCTCAAAACTGGAAAACAACTCAGATCTTCCATTGTTTGTTCTATGACTCTGGACATGATAAACACTTTGCCTGAGTTTCCCTGTCTTAAAATGGGGATAATACCTACCTCACAGGGGTGTTGTGAGGCTTAACTCTTGTGTGAAGAGCTCTGAGATTTGTTACTGGAAGGCACTGAAAAAGATTAGAAGATACTAGATTACATAGTGTTTGCTACTTCTACAAATGTATGGCAATATCTAGGCACAACCAGAGGGAACTGAGAATAGTTTTGGCCTTATGAAATTCTTTGATGCTGTGGTTTTCAGGTTTTTAACAGTATTTAAATGTAGATTTTTTTTAAAAAAAGAATGTTTTGTTAGTGAAGGGAATGTAGCTTTGCCTCCAGATACAGAACACCTTGCTAGTTTGCATTTCTTACGTCTCATATCGTAATTGCTCCTAAATAGTTCAAAATAGTCCTGCTGCTCATTGGACCTGGATTGGCCCAAGTCACGTCAGTGGTCTTACCCAGCCTCTCAGCAGAGCATTGCAGTCAACTCTCGATTATCCATGGGTTGATTACCAGTGTTGTGTATTAACTGTGCAGTCTGCAGAGCCCAGACCAGCCCTGCATCGTGTGCTGTGCACTGGCCAAGTGCTGTGTGCCAAGGCATTGGAAAAGCAGAGGCACTCAGCCGGTTCCACAGGAGCCCCTCTCACAGGGTGTGTTGACCTGGGTGCAGCACAGCACCAGGCACTTATTTTGCCTCTTGGCTGCTCAGATGCATCTGCAGGAAGCTGCAGGGTGTGGATAGGTCGGTTCAGCTTTGCGCTGGTTTGGGGATGTTGGTGCTTCACAGCCACCAGCATTGCTCCCCTTTTTCTGTGTTTATGCTTGTTGTACAGTCTCATAAACTAACTTAAATATGTTAATATAGTATTTATATATGTTTTTGTTTTGTCTGAATTATCTTAACTCTTTCTTCTGTTACCTGTATATGATCTAGAGTTGACTGTTAAATGAGATCTTGTATGAGACTACATTTGCAGAATATGCTACCACTGCTAGTATACTACAGAATATTAAGCAAGTAAATTTTGAAAGGAACAAAGTACTATTTTTTTTAAATGTGTATCCTTGCTTTTTATGGTAAACTTTCACTAATTATTTTGATCATTATTTTAAAATTGGTCTCAATCATTAGTTGAGGTCCTGCTGTATATCTCTAATGCACCATAGTACTACTGCTCTTTAGTTTATTTAAAAAGATACCAGCAAGACAAACCATAGTAGCACTGACTGTGACTTCTCTCCTGTTGCTATTATAAAAACAGAGCAACTATTAAGTCATAACAGTTGCCATCGCTGGTTAACAGTCTCAGTAAATGCATCTGGATAGATGAAGTTGTAGTCACTATTCCATTTTAAACTATTTAATCTTTTCTTTTTGAGCCAGAAGTCATATTTTTCTATTTCTGTGTCCATTGCAGGCAATGGCTAGCTTAAAAGACAAAAAGCTCTCCCCCTCATTATTTTAATTACAGGATGAAGATGTGATGATGATGATGGTGATGGGGGCAGAAGGGGGAGTTGCGTGGTCTCTCTGTCATGTGCTGTGTTGCACGTGCGGCACCAGCTGGTGTTGACGGGGCCCTTTAGTCTCTTTAGCCTTCCATGGCAAATTCCCTGAAAGCATATAGTGAGGTCAAGGTGGTGGCTGTGCAGCAGCAGGAACATAATTTTTCCGTTTTTTCTGGCTGTATGAGACCCGACTGTAGCCCACTAGCTTGTGATAGAGCTTGATTTTTTTTTAACCTGATCTGTTGAGATTATACAGACTTGATTTGTTGTGAAGATCACAGTTTCAGAATACTGAGATCATTCAAAAACACTGCACAGTCTCTCTTTTTTTTTTTTCCACAAAGCATGGAACTAGTGAATCTCATGTAAGTGAACACTGCAATGGAGGGGGAGCTAATTGTATTGTGTATCACATTCCTAAATTTTTAAAATAAAAAAACCTATGGAACACTGATTTTAAGGAAAAATATGTTTGTACTTCAATGTCTAGATTGTTTAGGCTTCTGATTAAATGTATCAGAGATGTACCAAACGTCACTGGGTGAAATATTTTACACTTACTATATGTCTCATCCAGGAACATGCTGTTTTAGAATCACTTCTTAGATTATATCTGCGCCTAAGGTGCAGTGCAGAACTAATTCAGACACTCAGTGGGCTAACCACAGCTCCATCAAGCTTCCTTTGTAGCAGGGTAAATCGTTTCTGTGGAACCCCTAATAATTTTAGCTTGGTTGCTTTAAACAGCCATTCTGGGCTTTCGGTGGTATCTGTTGCTGCTGCATCGCGGTGTGCGGTATGGACAGACACAGAGTTATGTAAAAGAACTCGCCCCGACTTGTGACTCCCCAAAAGTCACGGCAGGGGCTCACTCCTGAAAATTTCTGTATTCTTGAGTAGTTTCATCGGGCTGACGAGTACTTACTTGCATGCAAAGAATTACTTGTGGGAGTCAGTCCAAAGCTTCTGCCAGTGCTTTTGCAGAGTGAAAGTACCTAGATTTTATGGATGTATTAAAATCAGGACTATTGTGGTGTTTCTAAATTTGCTGCAGAAACACTGTCAGTTTGATACAATTCCAGGATTTATTCCTTTCCCCCGTTCTTAAAAAAGAAAGGGAAAAAAGCTCACTGAGTGTCCTAAGACTTATTAACAAGTTTAGCTAAACTGACATTGCTGTTTGCTTCTGAAATCAGGCCATCTGAATTTATTAAACACTGCTTGGTAGAGTTTGGGGAGGAGGGATAAAGATTCTTGCCATTCTCATTCCCCTGCCCCCTGCTTTGGCTGCACTTTCTAATCTCTTCAGCTATGGAGAGACCTGGGGGGACAGAGGGGGTGAATTTTTTACCTAGATGTTCCGAGTTCCACATGGAGGGAATGGGAAATACTGCTAACTATATTTAAAAGCATATAAATATGCTCTGACTATTTTAGTTTCATAGCATAGCATCAGTTACACCCTTTTTAGGTATGCATTTAAGTTGTCAGCTCCATAGCATCTCTGGTTTTTTCTTTCTCAGCTAGATGGAAAGAGGTGGATGCTCCAATTGCTTGGGCTAAAGCCAGACTTGACAGTTTTCTAAATCAAACATAGCTTTGCTGATAACAGAAGGGTCTGATTATTCCTTGTGACCTTTTCTTTGTGTGGTTAGCTGCCCGTGAGGTACAGCACCATGTTATAGCAGGCTCACATTTATATTTTCTGCATTCACCGTGTGGTCTAATTAGTTGAAGAGCAAAACCACAAAACTGAAAAATATCTTTCATCTATATATCTCCAAAAAGCACATGGGATTAATTTGGCTTCTTTTTTTTCATGTCCTGGATCCTGTTTCTGAACAATGTTAAAATATAATTGGCATAGCTTGTTCATTGATATTTCTTTTTGCCTTCTTTTAAAATAAATAATAATGTTCGGGTTTTTGTTCTTTTTTTTTTTTTTAAGTATTAAAGCGCTGAGAAAATAAATGGAGCTCTTGAACATCAAACACTTTTAGTTGGGATTTCTTTCTCAGATCAGTTCCTGGGAAGGAATTTAACTGGTTGGAATGCACTTTCACCATCTCACAGAACCTCAGAAACAAATGCGAAGCGCACAAACAGAAGGGGAGGTTAGTAAATGAGTTGTGAAGTGCTGGCCTCCAACCGTCTGGATTCCAGGTGCAATTAAAAGAACAGTTGCTCAGTTCTAGTATCATGTGCAGGGTTAATTATGCAAAAAGCATTTTTTTTCCTGTAAGAAAAACAGCTTCTGAAAAGAATAAAAAAATTTTCTTGTCCTGTTAATTGACTGTGGTTAAATATCTAACGTAAGAGTCAATAAGGTAGGCTTCCTAATAGAAGTCTGTACTATTCTGTTTAATGTCTTTGGAAAAAAAAGCTACTTTAGAGCAGAAGATGCTTTGGTACTTTTCGACTTCATTTGATTTCATTCAGAAACACTGCAGTTTGTGAAGTTTGTTGGGAGAAAAGGACTGACTGCGGCTGCCAGCACTAGCACTGAGGAGGGCAAGATGGTTACTAATACCTGCCTTGAGCTGTTAATGAGCTTGCAATGATGAGTTCATTTTGGAGCCCTTCACTGGTGCAGCTTCAGCAGCTCCTTTTACTGCTTCAAGGAAAGGTGATCCCATATTATTAGTTATATGCACAGGAGGGTGTGTTTGGATGTGCTGTAAGCATTGCACATGAGCTTGAGTTCTGCCATTTTCCAAAGCTACTTCTACCTCATTATGAAAAGATGTGATTTAAACTTAATATGAATATCCTTTATGAGACATGCTGTTCTGGCAATTTTAATTAATAGAAGGGAAGCTTCAGATCTGTAGCTTACTTTTGCTTTTACACCTACCTTTACTCATGTCATTCCTAGACCTCCTACCCCAGATAGTTGCCTGACTACCTCGAGGACCAGATCCTGCTCCCAGAAAAACAGCTCCTTGCTGTGTTTGCATTGGAGGAGCTGATGCCACAGGAGAAGGGCAGGATGATAGTGAAGCTGTGTCTGACCCCAGGCAGACAAGCACTTTCAGCAGGCACCTTCTCAGTCTGATCCATCCCAAACCTGGCATGAAACCTGTGCCACTGAAACTTTGGTTAGCATGTTTATACATGCATTTTTGGTTTTGGTGGTTTTTTTTTTTTTTTTTTTGGTGACAATCAGCGCAAACCTTAAACCAGTGCTGAGACCAAATTGCAACACCACCCCCCCCCCCACATCACCCAAGCTCTGTTTCTAGTTACAGCGTTTCTCAGCTTCCCAGCATTTCCCTTGCACCAGCTCCTGCAGCTAAGAATAGCCATGGTGATGCTGTGGAACAGGATGTGCAACCTGCTGGGCTTCCTGCATTTGTGCTTGTGTTGCTGGCCTGGGTTGAAGCCTGTTCTCCTCATCTTCCCTGCTAGTGCTGCTGGACTCACTGGGTGAATTTGTTAGATTTGATTTGTTGGATTTGGTTTGCTGTGGGTTGGCCCACACTCGTTTCAGTTGCCTTCTGCACTATAGGTAACTTCATTCTGCAGTATAGGCAAAACCTCAGCTGAGTGAAATATTTACTTGCTGCCAGCCTTTCGTGCTCCAGAGTACATCTGCCGAGTGTAAGCGGATGCTGCTGGCCTGCTGCAGACCTGGATTCAGCTCCACGGGTTGGTTTGATGTTACCGTGTGATCCTCCTCGCTGAGGGTGCAGCGAGTGCAGCACGGTGAGTCTCTGCAGGTAACTGGGTCAGTGCCGCTTACCTGATCTGGGTGCTCATACCCTAGTTTAGGAGTGAACAACACTCCCACAGATAGATGCTGCACATATTGCTATACCCTCAAGATTTTTTCATGAGGCAGTGTCAACTGGAGACACAGCCCATCGTTCTTATTCTGGGGTGCTCTGGGACTCTTCCCCCACTCAGTTGCAGACGAGCATGTTTTCCCTTGAGAAAGGGTTTACGTGAATTAGCAAAATTTGGGGGGATAATTTTCACTTGTGTTTGTGGGCGTGTGGGAAGGTTCTGACCCAAGTGGATGGGTTTAGTCTGTGTGCTTCCAGCTGAGCATTAGGAGCAGTTGGATTTAAATACTAGGTAAAATCTAGGCTCAAGCAGTTCATCCTAAATACCCATAATGCCAGAGTCTTAGACTTCTATGTCATGCTGTTTTGAAGTGATTTGCTCTTTTCACATTGCTGTTCAAAAAAAAAAAAAAAAAAAAAGAAAAAAAAAAAAGGAGGGAAGAATTGTGTTTAATTATCACAAGAATTATTAACCAGCCTGGGTAGGTGTGTTTCCAGTTTGTCAAAAATCTCCCTGCATACAGGAGATGCACAGTAGAGACACTGCCGAGTTAGTCGGCAAGCTATCGCTAGAAAGGAGGTGTTTGGTACATATGCTTGAGCTTGGAAATGGAATGACACTTGGCACCATACTGTCCCAGTTATCTTTTTCTGAAGGAGTAGGAAAACTACAGAACTAAATATTGAGTCAAGCTGCGTGGGTAGAGCTCCTGTGTCAGAACCGCACTGATGTCACAGTCGCAGTGTGACATCACTAGCTGTATGTGAAAAGCTCAGAGCATCACCCAAGCTGTATGTGTTATTCAAAAGCTCGGTAACATTTGCTGAAAACTTTCATGTTTGTTTTTTTTTTTTCTCTTTTCCCATTCCCTTAATGCAGAGAGGTTTAGCCACACAGCCAAGGGGAGACGACTGAGTGTGACATTGAATGGCCCTGCAACACTGTGTGCTGCTCTGAAAAGTTATGTGCCATTGAACCCAGAGCTTGGATGCCATTGCATTTTGTGTGCCCTTTCTAAAAGTATCTGCAAAACCAAGGAATGTCAAAACAATGTTTCTCTGTTGAAAGGTGGTGAGATACTGAAGTGCACAGCTTCTGTGGTTACCTTCTGTGGTGCTCTTATTTGCTGGCCTCTGCCCGGGCAATTACCTTGGCTATTACTGTGTGTGCGTGCAACAATTAGTATGGCATGGAAAAAGAATGGGACAGGCACTGAAGTTCTTTAGATATTTTTTTTTTTTAATAAGAATAGAAAATCTGATCTACAAGATTTTTGCCAAATTTTCTTTTGGCTCTGGTAGTATCAGAAAGGCAGATCACTTCTCCTGTGGTGGTCACTGGTTAGCAGAGAGCAAATAAAATTATCAGTGGCAAAAAATGAGCAATGGAGTGTGTATAGGTTTTGCTTTTGGATTGGGTATATTTTTTTTCCTCCTCCTGCAGCTGTTTCAGTGAGGGTAATGATGTTCTTTGGCCTTCCTCTATAGCTCTGCAGTCCTTAATAACTTATTACTGTGAGACCTACACATGGTGTCTATGGAAATCAAAGTTAGTGAAACATATGGAAAAAAAAGCTTAAACAGATCACAGCTGAAACTGAGACCTTAATCTTTCTGAGACTGAGAAGGTAGCCAGCACAGCCTCAGCAGTTATATCAGGAAAGGGTAGTGTGAAGTACAGAAATGGTGTAGAAAATCAGGTAACAGTAGTTTTGTTTCACACCCGCGCGTATGAGAAGTAGTCTCT